CTTGGATTTGAGGCTGGCAGGGGTTGTCATCCACCAAAGCCACCCAGTACCCCCAGGCACAGGGTGCCACCTGCCCTGCCCTCAGCACACGGTTTTGGGGTTGATTCCCCCCTCCTTTTAATGCAAAGGAAATGCACTTTTACACAAACCCAAGGGAAAATACGCAACAGCTCCCTGCAAACTCAGCAGCCAAGTACCATCCCCTGAGCCCAGAGCTGCTGTAATGCCTCAAATGAAATAAAGAGTTAAATAAAATAAAGAGTTAAATAAAATAAAGAGTTAAATAAAATAAAGAGTTAAATAAAATAAAGAGTTAAATAAAATAAAGAGTTAAATTAAGTCAAATAAAATGCACTTCAGGTCCAGGCTGTGCATCCCCCTCCTCCCCCCCCTGCACCGCAGGGAGACAAGAAGCCAAAAAGTCATTGCACCCCAAAACTGAGCATCCCCCCCTGAAAGGGGGAGAAAATCCCGGAGGGGAAGGGAGAGGGATTGGGGCTCGGCCGTGGAACGCTGTGGATGCCTGTGCAGAGGAAAACAAGGTTAAGTTCAGTAATCAAATGCCAGTCCTAGCGAGGCTCCTCTCCTGCAGCACCGGGAGCTGCAGCTCCAAAGTATTTATTTTTGAAATGCTGCAAGTGGCAAGCGGCGCGGACGGCCCCTATTTTTAGTGTAGCAGCCAGTGGCAATGGGTGAAAGAAGATTATTTCTGCCTTATTAAGAGCCCGAGGTGAATTTGCAAAATATTCCTCAGTAGCACAGCAGCAGCCCACACGCAGCAGACATGCAGCACGGGGCTTCCAGAATCCTGGAAGTTCGCACAGAAAGTACAGACCTGCAGGTTCGGGCAGGGAATGGGGGGGAGAAGATGGAAAAGTGAGCTGAATTAATGCTTGGTGATGCAGCTCAGGAGGTGAGTGTGGCCCCACTGCCAGGGCAGCCTGGGGTGGGGTGATGGGTGCTCGGCTTGGGGACCCCCGCACAGCCTCTGGAGCTTTGCTCAGGGACCCCAGCACAGCCCTGGGGTCTCTCCTTGGGGACCCCAGCACAACCCTGGAGGATCTTCCCAGGGACCCCAGCACAGCCTTGGGGTCCCTCCTTGCAGACCTCAACACAGCCTTGGGGTCTCTCCCCAGGGACCCTGGCACAGTCCCAAGCATCTCTCCATGGGGACCCCAGCACAGCCCCAGGAACCCCAGTACAGCCCTCGGGTCTCTTCCCAGAGACCCCGGGATAGCCCCCAGCATCTCTCCCTGGGGACCCTGGCACAGTCCCAAGGGGTCTCTCCTTGGGGACCCCAGCACAGCTGTGAGGGGTCTCTCCGTGGGGACCCTGGCACAGCCCTGGTACCTCTTCCCAGAGACCCTGGCACAGCCCTGGGGTCTCTCCATGGAGACCACTGGCATAACCCCAAGCCCTGAGGGGTCTCTCCTTGAGCACCCCAGCATAACCCCAAGCATCTCTCCCTGGGGAGCCCAGCACAGCCCTGAGGGGTCTCTCCTTGAGGACCCAGCACATTCCCAGCACCTCTTCCTGGGGACCCCAGCACAGCCCCAGGAACCCCAGCACAATCATGGGGTCTCTTCCCAGAGACCCTGGGATAGCCCCCAGATCATCTCCCTGGAGACCCTGGCACAGCCCCGACGGGTCTCTCCGTGGGGACCCAGCACAGCCCCATGGGCTCTCTCCCCCAGGCCCCTGGCACAGCCCTGGCACAGCCCCATTCCTGGGCTCTGTCCTGCTGCAAGGTGAGTCACCAGCAGCCCGGGCACATCTCTGGCTCCTCGAGGTCACCCACCCGGCAGCCTCCAAAAAGTGCCGTCATTGAGCCCGGGTGAAGCGTGTTACTGCCATTATTATTTCATTAGTTGTTGTTGTTTTTTTTTTTCTTCTCCCCTTCCCTATCACTGATTTTAAGAGCCTCTCAAACCAAGGAGAAGCAAAAAATAGAAAATGCAACATTTTAATGTTGTTTCCCCCCCCCCCCCCCCGATTGCTGCAAGGAGAAGGGAGAGACCTGGATAAAAAATACAGTTATCCAGCAGGATGGAATATTTTGCCACCTAATAAAAACTCAAGACCCCGAGTAAGTTACAGCCAGCAGAAAGCAAACAGCACCCCATCACCCTGCCTCCAGCATCCCAGCACAAGCACTAATTCCCATCCGTAACACATCAAAAAGACAAGTGCCATGCTGAATCCTATTCTCCTCACTCCTAGTACACAACAGCAGAGCAGGCAATATATAACATGCATGACTCAGTCCTACCACCGTGCCACTACGGAACAGAAAGCTTTAAAATAAAAGTAAATATCTTAAAAGGTCAATTAAGAAAAGCTTACAAAACATCAGACGCTGCTTCTTGCTAGAGCTCATTACCTAGTATGGTGGAGCTGCCTGTGTGTTTTTTTTTCTTGTGCAAGTTAGTCTGTGAGTCAGCATTAACACACATGAGAACATCAGGAATACTGCCTAGTTCTGATGCAATGGAGGTTGTAAAAAAAAAAAAAAAAAAAAAAAGAAGAGAGAAGAAGAAGAAGAAGAAATCGCACTCGGTTTGGACAGGAGCCTGTAATTCAATTGCCTTTACTTTTCAATTACTGCATAGCCTACCCTGACCAACCTGCAGAGGGGAAGGAAACTTTGCTTACATCTCTGCCTTAAAATTAATGACTTTTTACTTTTGGCTGCAGCTTATTCTCCCTGCTTTTTCAAAAAGGAAAAAAAAAAAAAAAGGCATAATATAATTAACCCTTCAAGGGCAGCCGAGCCCGCGCAGCGATCGGGATCTGCGTGGGTTTTGTAGGGATTTCAGGGCTGGAAAACGACCCTGCCAAAAAGTTCTGGCGGAGGGAGACATTTATACATTAAACTTTTAATAGTCTATAAAGCAAAGCTACAATTGCATCCGAGCTTGATCCTTAATGGAAATATAAGCTTGCAGACAAGGGAGGTTATAGACTGCAGACATTTAACTCTGCGCTTCTGGGCTTAGAGGAGCAAATATGAGACTGCACAGGAGGTTCTTCAAAAACAAGGGGTTTGGTCATTAAGCAAAAACCCTGAAAAACCTAAAATTGGTGCCATGAGATGCTCCCCTCAGCCTGATGCCCACTTTCCCCAGGCAGATGAAGGCAAAGCTGAAAACCTGCATTTTTCGTACACTGCATTTACTGCCTGTACTTTGGCAAACAATTCCCTCTCTCCCCCCTTCCCAGAGGGAAAACCCCTCCAGACTGATCTCTGCTCCCAGGATCACTGCAGGACAGTACAGGAGCCTCAACACTGACTTCATTTTTGCCTCCTCTGCTCCTGCAACAAAACCCTTCACCGAGGCAACAAATTGTGCCCAAAGCTTCAGAATGTGCCTATTTCTGTAGCACACCCTAAAACACCCCCAGACAGCACTGCAGCCCAGAACGTTGTATTATATAGGTGATGATGAGGATAATTCTATGATTATATATATGAAATATGAGAATACAAATCATATATGGTTAATATATTTTATATATATATATATAATATGGTCAACTGCATCTTCTGAGCCAACACCAACATGTGACAAGTTCTGTGCTGCTGTGCAGTCCCTGGGAGAGCCCAGCACAGACATTCCTTAAATTTGAGGGTTTTACAGAGGGTTTTACCTTATGCAGCAGAGGAGGGTCAGAGGTTGAAGGCAAAAATTTCTCCCCAATATTCACAACGTGCTGCAAACACTGAGCTGATCCCACAACAAACACCAATCAATCATCCAAAAAAACCAAGGATAACTAATGCATATGGATTAATAATCCAGTGGATCACAAAATATGTTAAATCCCAGCTTAGTGTGCTCGTTGTTTTTATGAGCAGGCACAAACACCATAAAACTTCTTTTTTCAAAGTATAAATACTTATTAATGCTGATTAACCAACATAGAACCCCCTCTAATATCAGAGATCAATCACTTTTGCAGCTTCTCTTGCAGGGAAGGGTCTGTCTCAAACCACTGTGAGCCTGCTGCTTTTTTTTTTTTTTTTTCCTTAAGCATGTGGGACACTTGAATACAGATGAATTGAGTTTTAAAGGAAAAAACCCAAGCAGCAACTTCTGGGCCAAGTTCCTGTGTGCCAAACTTTTCAACTGCCACAGCACAGCTCGACAGTGTTTCAAAAGAATTTAAGCACTGTTTTGAATACTGCTGACAATCTCCCTCATCAAAATTTGTAATTTAAATACCTCAAATCTGAAAAGCACGCTCCCTGGGGCATGCTTCATTCTCCCTCCCCACCGCCCACCCTCCCCAAGCCCCATTTGGAATAAAATCCGTTGGCTTTCCATATCTGGCTGCTTTTTCCCCCCCACCTCCCGCAGCCCCTCCGGGGACCCCGGCGCTCAGCAGAGCTGCTGCTTCGTGGATTAAACCTCTGGTGTGCACTGCTGCACCCCAAAGCACCGCCACCTTCCTCTTTTTTAGAACTCTGACGCCGGTTTGTGATAAAACCAGCGGCCGGTTCAGAGAGAAGACACGGATTTAAGAGCTAAAACCGGTCACTGGTTTAGAGATAAAACGCTGAAACCAGTCACCGGTTTAAAGCTAACACTGGGCTGCCCAGACTTCTGCATCAAGAAGGGGTTAATCCATTCCCACCCCTCTATCCAGTGGGTGAGATGTTCCTTCAGACACGCCAATAACCCCCCAGATAACTCTCTGTCACCAATCCCAACTGGCCAGGGGTGTCTGGACAGGTTTCTCGGGGTGCCTGTGCTGTCGGGAGCAGCAGCTCCATTTTGGCAGGAGCGTGTTTAAGATTCCCTCCCAGTGCTGCAAAAGCACCTTGAAAGGTCGCCGAGCGCTTTCATATTCTCGGATCCATCTCGGAGGCTGCAGCAGACGGAAAAGGGATTGACCTCGCCGGGAAACCGGGGGAGAGTCCCCGTGAAATAATCCATCAGCACCACCCTTCGCCAGCCGCAGCCGCCTTTGTCATGGGAACGCTCGGAAATCTCACCTACCTATTGCAGCCGGGGCTGGAGAGGGTTTAAATCCCAGCCCTGCTCTCCTGGGATGTAACCAAAGCCTGCACGGAGAGCTGCGGAGCGCCGAGCCGGCACACAACATAAAATACCTCCATATTAAAGTCTACGCAGAGCCTGTGCCCATTACCGAACTCATTAAAGACAGTGATACTTTGTAACACACTCTAATCTTTAATATTCATAGCTCGCCTCATTTGCATACCATGCCATAAATAGTTGAAGCAGAGGTAAAACACAAAGCGCTCCACTTGCATTTCTAATTATGCCTAAAAATCAAATGTAAATCACAACACAGCCAAGACACTGAAAAAAATATTAAATTTGCTGGCTCGCTGTTAAAAAAATCTTTTTAAAAGGAAGAAAAAAAAACTCCAAAACAAAACCAACCCCGAACCGCACGCACAAACCTGATTATTTTTAAAAAGAGAAATCCAAGGGGCTCATGTTGTGAGCAGCAGGATGACACTGTTTTAAGAGGGGAGATGACACATCCCAGCCCCAACCCTGGTGATGGACCTTGGTGAACTCTGGCCGTGACCTCCTGGGAATTTCAGCTCATCTCCCCTAAAAACCTGCCTTTCCCACCAAACTGGGCTGCAGCCACTCATTTAACCTTGGTCTTTGGAGAAACAACAGGAGCCTTTCCCTGCGGCGCGGCCGGGAAAGCTGATCCCCAGCTAAGGAGGCAAATTTGAAGAATCAGCTCGAGCGTGAACTTGTGCCCCTGTGTTGGGTTGGCTGGAGGTCGGGGCTTTGGGAGGCAGAGCAGTTCCAGGGCTGGGAGCTGCTCCATCCCGAGGTTTAATGGGAAAAGAGGTGTTCTGGGGCACTGGCACGTCCAGAGGGAACAGATGATTTCTGAGGTAGCATCAGGGAGCCGTGGGCTCTCCAGATACATCCCAAATGTTATCCCTTAATTTAGGAGCTCCAGCAAATTCACCTGCCTCCCCGGAAAGGATGCTGGGGAACTGTGTGGTGTTGGGAATGGCTCGTGGGACTTCAGTCCCCAGCCACCACCATCCTGGAGGATTGGTTTCCACAACAACTCTCAATTTATCCACTTTTAGGGAAAAGTGTGGCACCAGCTGAGAAGCCAGGATGTTTCCAGGGTGGAAACAGGCACGAGGCCTGGTGTCCTCACCTGCACAGCCAAGTTGAGCTCACTTCCCCCAATTCACAGAGGCATCAGAAGACTTTATGCCTGTAAAGCTCCTCAATACCCTTGGATAAAAAGAGTTATTAGTACATTACTGCCAACAGCATAAATAATTTCCCTCGGACCACTTGCTTCTGCATCAGGCATCACAAAATCCTCTGGATTTTATGGAATCTCATCACCACCAATAAGTGAAAATGCACGTTTTTAGTTCAAGAGCTCCCCACTCCTAGACACTGATCCTGAACAACACTTCTGTTGTTCCCAGGAAGCTCAAAACCTCCCCAGTCTTCATCCCTCTCTCTGCTCCTCTTTACATCCATCTCCCTGCTCCTCCTCATCCTCTCCCAAGAAGCCGCTCACAACACAGAGGCGCAGCATCCACGGGACTCAAACCAAACTTTTACAGATTTGGGCCCAAAGATTTAATTAAAATCAAATGAACTGAATTTTACAGGAGTAGGACAAACCCCACAACTTTTGGGAAGCCACGAGGCCCCCTGGCCCAGCAGAGGAAGGCGGAGCGGGGCAGGCTGGATCCCACACGGCCCGGCCGGATCCTTTCCCACTTACCTTCCCCTTCCCACTGGGACTCCAGCTGTATAAACCCACCGGGTCTTAATGAAAGGCTTTTATGGGTGGCTGTCCCCAGGGAAAAATGCATTTTTGAGTCACTTGAACCAAGACTGATTTTGCAAAGGGAGGTAAATATCACGGAAGGGAGCCGGGCACTCGGCAGCTGCTCCAAGCCATCACCGCTCCCTTATGAGATTCCTCCCGTTTAACAAAAGGCTTAAAGAGACTTCTGAGAGTGAAGAGTGGAAAGAAATAAAAAAACCATGTTTATAAACATCATGTTCTGCTCCTACATGTACATCGGCATTCCGGGGTTCCCAAATTCCAGCGGTGAGCGGGTGAGGGTTCCCCAGCCCTGTCCTCGTCCTCCCCTGGTGCTACAGCTCGTCCTGCCCCTTCCCAGAACCCGTGTCCAGCTCAACAATGACATGACATCAGCTCTAAGAAAGAGTTAAAAAGATCTTTTCTGCAATATCAACTTCCAAAGAATTCCAGAGACGCCATTAAATTTTAACCCCAAAAGGTGAGCAACCGCTCCGTGCCCCCTGCCCGCGCCGAGGGAGAAGTGAAAGCGAGCTGCTCACAGCCTGCAAAGCTTTTCTGCTCTTCTTATGTACCCTGGCACCCTGCCCAGACCTATTTTTAAGCCCATTTACTAGAAATCCCACAAATTAAAGGAAATACGGATAATGTTGTAAGAATCCTTTGGGCCAAATAAAAGCTACACATAATTTTCCTTGTGCATCAGAGTAAGATCCTTAACCACAAAAACCAGATTTCCCCAAAGCTCTTTTGCAACAGCGAGAAGAGAATCTTGTTTTGTAAAAAGTTGCTTTGATTCACTCCTGGATTACAGGGAGCACGGCGGCTCCGCTGCCTCCCGGCCAAACCCAGGAGTGATTACTGTTATGAAACAGAAAGGTGTTAGGAGAACACAAATAAATTTGACATCTCCAGCTCTGGAATAGGGCCTGCAATGACAGCAAGGCACAGAGTGCCGTGGGGAGAAGCTGAGGATGGGTATTGGGGTTTTTTTTTCTCCCTAGAGGAGATTTTATTTTCCAGCTTCTTTCAAAGTGTGTTTTCGTGGCGTTCACGAAGGGTCAGTGTGCTGGGAAGCCTCCTCCTTGAGCACACCACCAGCCTGGGGAAATTCCTGCTTGGTGCACTCCACCCCCACCGTATCCCAGCCCTGAGAAACCCTGACAATCTTGTTTTGACAGTCCATCAAATAAGGAGCCCACAAAACTCATCTCAGCTGCCCTCGTGCCAAAACCTGTCCTGTTCCAGGCAGGAAAGTCACCACAGACCTGCTTCTTCATCTCCAACCCCATTCCTGACTGCATCCCAGTGCCACAGTGGGACTGGGGGTGCTGCCCACCTGCACCCCCAGGACAGGGCAGGATGATGCCAGTGCAGGTTGTGCATCATGTCACCCACAGTGATGGGCCTCCCCAGCATCTCCTTGGGGATTCTATGAGAAACAGTGATTTTATATCAAAATACATCTATGCCCTGTATCTCTGCATTTAAACAGTTACAGTGGGGTCTCTCATGAGGTGAGCACAGGGGAGAGGGAGTGCAGGAAATAAAGGAGCATCCAGCTGCAGCAGAGCTTCGGGAAGGAGGGGCGAGCCTGCATTTTGTACAGCAGCCACAATCTTAACTATGCAAAGACTTTAAATAAACTCCAGTAACAGCTCTTGTACTGTCGTAGGATTAAAAAGAAACCAACAACCAGACACATGTTTCACTACAACTCATCAGACAAGCAGAAACAGCCCCGAAACACAACGGTAAAAGCAGCATTTGTGGTTAATCCTGGCGGGGAGGGGATGAGGGGAAGGTGCTTCCTTTCCAACAGTGACAGCAAAGCCATCACCATCCAACCTGACTCTCCCTTCACTCTTCTTCATCCCCACTTAAAATGTCCTCCTCACAAACATTTCAGCTTCCTAAAAAGAAAAATAATTATGCAGGGGAATAACCACTCCTATCCCACAAACGCACGGATCCGAAAAGTTAAACACGCAACTTCGGGAACTTTTCCAAGATTTATATGTTTTGCATGGAAAGCAAATGTTGTGGGTTTCTTTTTTTTTCCAGCCTGGGAAAATATTTAAGTGCTAAGTTTAGGAAGCCAAGTCCATTTATTTCTGGTTTATGTTACTGCTCAGATGGAATCTAATTAGTGATTTAAGCAGCAGCAGGGGAAGCGGTGTTGGCCCCCGACCCGGGGCTGTGCCCGCACGTGGCTTTGGGAATTCTTGCCCAAAAATGGGTTTTCTCCATGGCACAGGAATGGCAGGAGAGGCTGAAGGATGGTCAACTTTCCCTGCAGCATCACGAAGTTGGACAGCAAAGGAGAGAGCCCCAGGTTCCTTTCCAGCCCCACCGGTTCATCTACACAGTAAAAAGTCTTTTCACAGTGATTCTCTTGGAAATAACAACACTTGATTTGCATTTTCCTGTGCACTGGCCCATTTTACTGAACTGCTGCCTTCCCTGAGTGCAGATGGAAACTCCTCCCTGCCCTCCCAGCTTGGAGCAGCTCCCAGTTCCATCAGTGCCAGTGGGACCGGTCCCATGAGCCAAGGCAGTGGTGGGGAGCAGTCCTGCCCCATCCCTGGAAGTGTTCAAGGCCAGGTTGGATGGGACTTGGAGCAACCTGGTCTATGGAAGGTGTCCCTGCCCATGGCAGGGGGTGGAACTGGATGATCTTTAAGGTCCCTTCCAACCCAAACTGTTCTGGAATTCTACAAACCCCTGAAAACTATTCGACCCCGAGTCTCACTCACTCGCTTAAACCTGGAGACTTTTCACCCCAGCCACAAGGCCCTTCAGCTCTTTTGCAGCAAGACAGCAAGTGCTTTGCCTCTATTTTTCCATTTCTTTGTGCATTTTTGCAAATCCTTCTGGCCAGTTAAACCAGAACCATCGCAATTGCGAAATCCAGGAAATTTGCTGCAACGCTCCGTAACTCTTGCGAGGCAATTAGCCAAAACCTCACACAAATAGGCTTTTTTGCCACACCGTTCTAACCACCAGGCATTAACCCATTTTCTTAGGAAACAACATCTGCTGAAATAACTTCCTAATCTAGCAGCAGGCATGGAAAAACCCCCACTGCAGTATCTCTGATCCGTGGTGAAGAGAATCTGCTGATTTGTCCCACTCAGAGGGTACCGAGTGGCCCCAGCTGAGTAAAAGGTCCTCACACAGACCCTCTCCCTGGAACATTCATTACTTGGCTGGGAAAAGTGACAGGGTCCAAGTTCATCCTGGGGGGTGTGGTGCAGGATTTACCTCCCTGAACCCAACTGTTGTGGGGTCTGAAATCCTTGGA